TTATTTTGTGCCAATTGAAGCTCTGTGGGCTGAGATACGGGCGGTGACGTATGTAAGAAATAACGCCACCGGTGACGTAAATAGAATTTATTGCGAAGGGATATAACCTGGGTATAGACGTCGGGTTGGCCCGATGAGTGATACCTAATGAGTCCGAGAAGAAGCCAATGGTTCGGCTCATAGGTTGGATTTTGGTTTTTTTGATGTTTTTTGGTTTCGGCGTTTCTGATTTCTTGTCGCCTTTTTCTAATAATCCAAATTTCTTGAGNGAAATAACGCCACCGGTGACGTAAATAGAATTTATTGCGAAGGGATATAACCTGGGTATAGACGTCGGGTTGGCCCGATGAGTGATACCTAATGAGTCCGAGAAGAAGCCAATGGTTCGGCTCATAGGTTGGATTTTGGTTTTTTTGATGTTTTTTGGTTTCGGCGTTTCTGATTTCTTGTCGCCTTTTTCTAATAATCCAAATTTCTTGAGGAAAACACAAAGAAGTGTTATTATTGTACAGACAGCACTTCAGACAGCAGTACGCTGTAGTAGTCGACAAACATTCATTTTGGTTTAATGCGGGACAAGGGGGGTGATGCTGCTGCTGTAGTCGCTGTAGTCGATTTTGAGTGTGTGGGCGTGTAGTTCAGTTGTGAGCAAGCAAACGTGCTGCAGGAGGGATTGCAGGTATACCTCCTCGGGCTTGCGTACCCTTTCCTTGCTAATAGTGTGTGTGTTCTTCAGATCCTCTGATGGCTCTAGCATTTTTGTGACCACGGACCGAGCCTTTGCTAGATTTTGGGATTAGCAACTGACACGAGTTTATTGTGAAGAAAAACAAAACAACATAACAACAAATGATCATCATGAACGGAGATAGGCTATAGTCTATAGAGATATTATCGTGGATACCAAACTCATGTGTCATCACGTCGTCACGTCAACAACGGGACAGCGGTTTCGCACGATGTGCATTCTGAGGCACACATCAGCCTGCGTGGTTGCTGCAGCCTACTTTTAGGTCGATCATGACCTGTTTGTTGAGGCTACAAAAATACTTAACGTAGGTCGGCTACATGTACCTTGGTGCTGCTGTGGTCCTATACAGCAGCAAAAGCGGTACACACCAGTGTATGCATTATGTTGTGGCGCAGACGAATTGGCGAGTTTCGGCCGAGACGCGCATAGAAACCAACGGAAGCGAGGAAGGTAGAACCACACCTGGGAATTGTTTGGTTGGCACATTCTGTGTTTGTTTCAGTGTCACTACTGCTGTAGCTTCGGTTGTCTCCTTTCAAATAGTGTACAAGTAGCGTAGCCCACACTGGCCCACACACCCCACCATCGGCAACCTCCCCCGTCTCCACCTCCCCGCAGGACACGCACCCTGCGCGCACGTATTTGGCCAATTCGCCAGCGCACGTGGATAGAAGACATGACCGTGTGGTGGCTGTGTCGAGCATGTCCACGACAAAGCGAGCGGGGCGGGCACGACCCGAAAGAAAGGTGGTCTGATTTGCTCATCCGCTATCAAGGGCGATCATGATTCATGTAGTACCACCCCAGCAGTGATATCCACCTCACCGCAGGACACGTATGTATGCACGTACCGGTGTTCGGCCATACGGTGAGCCGGTGGCAGCCTGTCTCAAACAGGTGAGCGGGGGGGTTGTTATTGTTGTTTTCACATTGAAAACCTTTCGGTCTCGGCTCAGTACCTTATGACATCCATTCGTTTCACTCCGGCTGTTTCGGACACCTTCCGCAGTCAACGGCCACCTACCTACCCCAAAGGACACGCTTCTTACAGCAAAAAAAGGCAACATGACTCAGAAAATCGTCAATGAACTCGAAAAATAAAAAAACGGATTAAGCCCGGTCAGACGGGTGCTTGTTGTTCATGAACAGCATGGGTGGGTGGTCAGCAAAGAGAACTGCCAAAACGAAGCGCTGAAATCCGTTACAAGTAATGATGACTGGTATTCCGAGTTGCCACTTGTTTCGACCCGTTCAACTTTCTTACTAGATCTATCTGGCCTGTCGTAGGATATGACAACATGGCAATCCCATGTCAGACCTAATCCCTTACACCAATATGGTGCGCATCATAAAAACACGGAGCAGAATATATCCCCAGTAGTTCGAAAGAGGTAAGCAGTAACTATTCAGGAAACTCCTAGCTCAGATCACAGCCTGGGAAAAACTCACTTTAGAGCAATAGTGAACTTGGGCTTCGGCGTGGCGTCAACAGGCCACACTCAACCATCAGGTAGCACAACCGTTCCATGAGCAGGTTGGAGACCATACACTTAAAACAATGCAACTGCCAGAACACTCGAGCTACACTCCTGTTAATTAAGTACACACAAACACTGCTGGAAAAATTTCCTGTTCCAACTGAAGGAAAATACTCAATTATAGTACCTGGTAATCGTTGGGCTCAAGACACCCCATTAAAATCGTGCTGCGCATGACGACAAAACCAAACCATCAACGGCATTGATAACGACCGATTAAGCCCAGCCTTCGCATAGCAACAGCAGAGGATATCCGATGTCGTGCCACCACGCACAAAGTCACGCCACCATTGGTTTGGGGCAACGACAACGAAGAAGGCCATCGGAACCCGCTAGGGTAAGAGAGGACATGTGCCTTGCCGAGAGCCACGAGCCAACACGGGCCGCTGCTTTGCTTGTACACAGCCTGTTCTCTCCATTCCAGTACCAAAGTCTCGCCTATACCGGCACCGTCCGTTACATCTCATCCCCCGCATCGTCGTTGTCGTCCCTCATGAGCTCGTCCGGCAGAGGAATCTTGCGCAATCGTTCGCGGAAATCGCGATCTTGTGACTCCTCGTGTACCTCCCCCTGTACCCCCACGAAGTTCACGATCTACCACAACAAGCATACGACAGGCACACACACACACGTGCTTGGTTACCCTTTGAATAGACAGCAGTGTTACGTGTTTTTTGTCGCGCTACAAGAATGGCGTCTTTTCATTGGTCAGCCAGTCAACGCAGTCGATGCTGACTAAGAAAACACAAATAAGCGCATGTGAAATTTTCATGCACGCCACACGAGACAAGGCAAAAATGCGCATGTTTTCTGAGCTCGATGTGAACCAACAACAGGACGATGACTACCAATGGCAGCAGCAAGAAGCTGTTTGGGCTGAGGCAGTGCTGTACCACGTGCGTTACTGGCGAGGCACAACCGACACGCGAGCTGAGTCTATCGAACTACCGCGGGCGGTGAATCCTGAGTGGAAACAACTCGTATTATATGGGCGGACATGGCAACGCACGTGTGCAGTATAAGTGAACGAAAACCTTGGACGCGCCGCGTTCCCGGAATGCTGAGCGAATCGTGGAACTTTGGCCATCACTCAATAGAAATGTTACCCACTCCACAGAAACCCGCATACATCACGCCTGTACATCATTGTTTGATGTACCATTGGAATAAACAAACTACAGGCGAAGAACGCAACGATGTGCCTGCCAACGTATTCATCTAGCCCCACCTTTCCGGTGTCGTCCCGCAAAGCCGCCACAAAGAACTGGTTCCAGAACGGGGTACCGTCGGCCTTGTAGTTCATCAAGCACACGCTCGTATCTCTGAAGCAATAAACCAGCAACAGAGTGTGTCGTTCAAATACTTGTTCATCAAGCACATGCTCGTATCTCAAAAATCAGCAGCAGAGTGTGGCGTTCAAATACTTGGTTTCTCGAGAAGCGAGATGCTACAATATTACCGTACAATGGCATTGCATCTGAGGCATCATCAACCGGAATCACAAGATAGGCGCCGCTCGACACCAATAGAACGCCTGTAGCCGCACCGGAGGAGGGCGCAACAGTTGGCCCATGCTTTCGCCCCTCTCAGCCTTCGCTGGGATGCGCACAGTCAGCCAACAGAACTCCGCCAACACATTATATTTTCGCGTTTGTTTCGATGAAAACCCATGACGGAAACTAGGAGTTTGCCGAACGCCGTCGAAACCCAGGGTGGCCCTGCATGGGTCCATCACTCAGCCCCCGGTGGCATTCGGTTCGGTTCGCAGCGCCAAACAGTTTGCCGAACGCCGTCGAAACCCAGGGTGGCCCTGCATGGGTCCATCACTCAGCCCCCGGTGGCATTCGGTTCGGTTCGCAGCGCCAAACAGTTTGCCGAACGCCGTCGAAACCCAGGGTGGCCCTGCATGGGTCCATCACTCAGCCCCCGGTGGCATTCGGTTCGGTTCGCAGCGCCAAACGATCGTTCGTCGGGAAAAAAAAGAAGACATGAAGAAAGAATGGTCGTGCTTTGTAGCAGACGCTCGCAACCAAGGCCACACGGTGACCGTTTTCGAACGACAACCGACCTTCCCTCCGCCACACCCCTTCGGATGATATCGATTGCCCTTGGGTCTGTTCCCGGCCCCTGCGTCACAACAAGAACATCAACAAGCGGTAAATAAGCGATGACGACGGGACATAGAACCAGCAAGGCACGCGGCCACGAGCGGGACGGGCCGCAAACATCAATATTTGGACTGCAGCCAACCGTCCGGATCAAGAGAACACAGCACGATCGATTGGAGTGCACCGTTTTCCCTTCTTGTGGCGTGTGCGTGTGCGGTGCCGCTTGTCCCAGGCGTGAAGCGCCAATCGGATACAACGAGGTACATACTTCATATTTCAACGAGACATATATCATTGCCCCCCGAGATCGAACTGTGTGATCTCTCGAATGGAGGCTAGTCATCTGCCGCTCAGCTTTCGCACAGACGGGCTCTTTCAATGCGATACTCCCACCGACCATGTCACAATGCACACATGCCACACACCCGACCGGGCTGTGGGGGTTGCAGGCAATAATGATAGTATCTTGTACCCGACGGTACGTACGAAAAACACAGGCTGTCCGCTGCAAGCACCACCGCTGTGTACCAGTGCACTACAAACTGGAGAGTCGCTATCTGTCACCTGCAAGAAGCGGCAGTTCCGTCCAATGACATTCTGGATCGTGTAGCCCGTCAGCGTGAGGAAGCCCTGTTCACGGGCAACGCCAAAGATGGCGGAAAGGTAGGCAGGCATCAAACAGAGCAACCCAAAGGCAGGCAGAGAACCGACATCAGCCACACGAACCTCACTGCAGGAAATCGACGATTCCTCCACGTCGCCCCCCCCCCCACACACACCTCATTTATATCATCAACGACAACAACAACAATAACCACAGGCAGGAAGCACGCTTGGCATGACTCGCCTGGCTGGCGTAGACGATCGGGTTGTCCGGCATGCTAGGGTCCGAGATGGTGAAGTTCTGTTGGCTCGTCATGAGAGCCTGCATCAGCTGGAAGTCCGGCTCCAGCAAGAGGCAGTTCGGCTCCTTCGTCTCTTCCTCGTCGTCTGAGAGAATAGGCTGTGCCGATTCCGTGCTCTACACAAGGAGGAACAAGAAGCGAAGGGACGTATGTTTGTTTTACTATGTTGAGACAGCAGCAGTAGGTGGGGGGTGCATCGCACGATGATCGCACGGTGAGAGAGGTTTTGTAGCATGGGCTGCTCAGACACGGGAGACTGAAGGTCACCGCTGCAAGGCAAGTTGCAGGCGATCAGCCGCGGAGGAACAGACTGCGTGAAGGGTGGATCAGCGCTACAGCGAGGGATGATTTGCCTTCTAATAAAAAAAAAGGAAAAACAAAAACGGACGGACGGGGCTGCCTGACTGACTTCACCTTCCCGGAGAGCACGAGAGCCTTCTCGTTGATGCACTTCTCGAACACCGTAGCTGCCTCGTCAGGCATGTGCTCCTTCACCACCTGGGATTGATCGCCGAGGCAAGCGACCACGCATGAGACGGGAAACGTCGACAGACAGACCAACCACATTGTCTCCTGCGCCAATCTTCAATGTTGGGGTTACATGAATGCCACATGCAGGGTGTGTACCGTTTCATCCGCATCGTTCAACGCCCTTCGACCTAAAACGCGCAAAAACAAACGATGGTGTTTCACTGCGAGGGCATGCGATGTGCCATCTCCTCGCCAGGTAAGCTTCTGCTGTCTGCCAACACTTGCAATCGAGCAGCACCCACCAGCGATCTGATGCAAAGTTTTAACAGCCAGGCAAGGCTTCCATAGCCAAGGTGTGTGCGCTCACCAGCGCAAATCCGTTTGCACAGGACCGCAGCAACGTGTGGCCTGGCCTATACTTACCGCGCTGCTGCAAGGCGTACGCGATATATACGGGATTTCCGGTACCTGTCTGAGGGCCAAGTTCTGCTTCCGCATGGCGAGGAGCTGCTCCTGCAGACACTCCAGCATAAACTTCTTGCGAATCCGCGATCGCTTCGCGTGCTCACGGTTCCGCTCCTGCAGGTGCGTGATGGAGTCGGGGGCGGGTGTGTGGATGGGTGACCACAAGGGGAAAACACGGAGGAAAACATCAGAGCAACGGGGTATGAGCCTTGTAGGTACGTGTGCGATTCATTAGCCGGGTCCACCTTACGCAGCGCCGACGTGGCCAGCTACGAACTACTGGCGAAATACGAATCCCAGATATCTTGTCCCAGCCGTGCGACGGGCTCACGTGTACCGTACCCGGAATGGAGGACTGCTGCCAGTCGCCTCACAAACGACACGTTTTAATGGTGAACACACGCCTGAGGGTTCAGCAGGAAGGATTTAACCGTTGTCTATTATAGCTGGCTGATCTACGAGCCGTTGTTGTTCACGGGGAGCGATACGGCCACCTGGCGAATAACCCAACCCCACAACGGCAACACCGTGAGTGTGACACCCTCCCTCGCCCGCTCCCTGGGTCTCACCCTCCTCTCCAGCTTCTGCTGCTCAGACATCGACCGGCGCGGATCGCCTCCCATCCCGCCCCAGCCCATGTCGTTCCGACCGCCCCAGTCTGCCGCTCCGGCAAGATTCGAGTCGCTCAGCTCCCGCTTCATGCCACGGTGGGCGCTTGCTGCTCCAGCGGCCACACCAATACCAATCCCGATCCCGCGGCTAGGCTTCTGCCCCGCCGCGCTCGCACCTGCCGCCCCGCTAGGTGCTGCTGCTGCTGCTGCCGCCGCCGCTCCTGGTGGTGTTAGTGCTGCTGCTGGTGCTGCTGGAGCTGCTGCCGCTGCTGCGGTTCCTGCTTGTTGAGCTCGTGCCGCCATCGCCTCCAACCCAAGACTACCCTCCCCGCTGCCTGGCCCTTCCACGTCAAGCGCCTCGCCGGCGCTTTCGTTCGAGGATTCCCCGGGCGCGGCCGCCAGCGAGGTGCCCCCCTCCGCCCCTCCAAACGCGAAGTAGCAGTCTGTTGTGCAAGTCCAGAGCGTGGATGATTCGCGGCTTGTGTCACGTGTACAATATTACTACACACCGAGCGACGGCCTGCGGCATGTCGAGTAGGCGCACTCACGCATGTTTATTATCACGCCTCCGTACATCATGTTGTAAACAAACACCCCGTCCGAGGCACCCCCCAATCCCGTCGGCAATTTGCTTCGCAGCAGTGAGCTGGTGTGACAGGAATTGCATAGACATGCTCATCACCTCTCGCTCCCATCATACAGCCGTTGAAAACTACAGGTAGGACGACCACCGACGAGGGAAAGGAACGCCTGAATCTTCCTCGCGATAAAACGTTAAAATGAGGAAGGCACCGCAGAGGGAAAGCGGGCAAAAAAATTTGCACAGCCTTCATCGGCTCCTGCGTCCAAAACAACTCACGGTCAAGCGTCAAGTGGGGTAAACACTGGCGTCCAGAATTAATGGGATGGTACGCGCAACACACAAGACGCATGAGGCAACGTGCAACTAATACCTAGTCTTCGCACGACTCTCTGTAGAACCGACAATAAATCTAGCGCTGTCCTCCCAAGTGCAAGTCCTTAGCCGTCGAGATAGACACGACCTCGACCTGCCTAAAGTTACAACCCAAAAGACGTTCGGCCAGCTCTGCAGCCAGCAGGTTGCATGGAGCCCATACTGCCGGAACAATTACATTCCTTCATTACAAAACAAGGTAATGAGGGTGTAATCCATACCGCTACTGGTTTTCGCGGTTGGTGATGGAACCAAATCATTGGGAAGGGATGGGTGTGTCAACAAGTCCACTACTGCTATGGTGCCTAGGATATGCCCGCAAAACCATTACGACGAATCGATGCCTTGTTCAAACGACTGCATAACCCAGCACATGCAAAGAGCCAGCTCATATGCATCCGGAACGTCAGCACAAGGCAGCCCGAACCTACCCCTGAATATTATGTAGGCAAAAGCAAGTTCGTACCTGAGAATACTTCGTCTAGATCGACTCCTTTCGTCAGCGCAGGGCCCGCTGACCCAAACACGGGAGACACCATCTGTTGTCGAGGGTGTGTGTTCGCAGGAGACGGCGTGATACACGGTGATTTGATGATGGGACGTGGCGGGCGGCACCGCATGTTAGATCGACCTTCAATGCCACGACGTTGTGTGCCAAACATGCTCGCTTTGGACACCTTCGATTTCTTCACGGCTGTGCGCAACGCCAGCCGCCTGCAATGATGGCTTGTACGCCAGCTATGCTGTGATCGCGCCATCAACGATGAAGTACCCGAGATATCTACCTACGCCTGCGCCGCCTATGCAACATGCGGCATGATGTACTTCGGGTCTCGCCGTCTCGTGTCTCTTTGACACTGCTACATCCTAACGCTCTGGATACAGCACGGCCAACAACTATCCTATACTATCGCCATGGCGGTGAACTTCAAGTTCCTCACATCCTCCATTTGAGTTTGCCTGGTGGTCGCCACCGCTTGCTGTGTGCGAGGAGGAGTGGATAGAGCCCGGCTCAGGGAGAGTCAGGCAGCAGGAGTGGTCTGCCGGAGCAGGGAGGCGGACGTAGCGGGGGAGGGTAAAACAAACTACGGGGCCCCCTCTGCTCTTCGTGCAATTTGCTTTGTTGTATGTCAGCCTCGTGGCCTGTTTGAGTTGCACAGGACAACGACACGCGACATGCGACATGCTTGTACAACTAGGCAGATAGAAACGACTTTCTCCGGACTTTTGTGCCTAACCCGTGGAGCGGCGTCCAATTGGTGCCGGTCGGCTTGTTGACAACACCCGATAACATTGCGTATAGTCTATAGTCAAGGGTCGGAACCCGATGATCTTTGTTGCGCGAGACCTCTGGCAAGGGTGTGGCCGTGGATCCCCCCAAAACTGTACTGGGCCATTGTGGTGTGTGGTGCATCCTGCTTTGTTCTTCATACGCGATTCGCCCCGGCTCAACGCATATTTCCCCAAAAGAAGAGTGATGGGACTCATCCGTGCCCAACTGCTGTGACACTGCTGTTGTTGTTCTGTGTATGCCACGTATGTACTGGCTACCATTAAGACAAGAACGTGTATCGCACTTACTTCGACTAGTCTACGTACACCACAGCTGTATTCAGGAAGATCTCCTTCAGTTCGCAGCTACATCGCTGGGATCGGTTAACCGGCTGTGCCCAGCGAGCCCGGGTTGCTACGACTCGAACCCTTGGCCATCCTACGGCTTACATGTAGACTTCTCACGGGAGCTACAAAAATATGCGTCTGTCTGTCTTGACGAACAACCCAAAATCCCCAGTTAGTTGTCCAGGGGCAAACAAAACACAGAGAGACTGCGTCGGAAATTCTCATCTCGAACCATAGCCAATCGTTGGGATGCACTCGGTCGTTCATTTGCAATTGGCCAGAGGTGCATTGCGGGATGTACGTAGATTGAGCATCATCACAAGGTTTTGTAGAATGTCGGGGTGGGAGGTGGGAGGTTGGGGGGACGGAATGGATACTTTTGACGATGTTAATACTTACCCCGCGGAGGCGGGGTTCTCGGTGGCGCGTGGAGTCTTGGACCGTAGCCAGCCCTGTCCTGTTGGTTCCACTATTACAACCGCGATGATCGCTTTACTCGGATGTGGCGTGCAATCTTACGTTGCGGCCGGGGTGTAGCTCGTGCTCCCAAATACATCTGGAATCTCTGGCCAACAGTCATTTTGTTCGTGCGCGTCAATCACAACATACGGTATATACGAGTTCAGCTGCAACAAAGCGAACCAGACTGAGCACTAAAGATATATTAACATACCGTACTGCGGTAGACTCCACTACCTATATCCACACCCCGTTATTCTGAGCAAGGAGAATGAGCTCCTCGGGGGTCTTGGACGTGATACTCGAAACGACCTTTTCCACCTGCACCTGCCCGGTTTGTTCTGGGTCAAGAAACCTTGTTGCCACCTGTGTGGAAGTATTGAGATTGTCCCGGAGATACATAGGGGAGCGGAAAACATGCAAGGAGGAACCGTTGCACGTGGATCTGACTCGTGACGCGATTATCCCTTTGGGCCTCGCCATTCTACGGTGACAATATTCTGACGAGAAAGAGACAAGGAATGGGACATCAATAACCTTCGTGAAGGCCTAATCCTAATCTATCTGAAGTCTGACTCCCCTCACGAACACTTCAGTCCGATTTTCAATTGTCAAGCACTTTTTTGACGTACTTCTTACCGACGCTGCTGCTGCTGTGAACGAAGACTTGTCACGAAATAGGGCACGCCCAAATTGTGAAAGCACGAATAGATCTATTCGTGATGTTCACATTCAGAGAGGTACATTTTGCAACAACCATTCTTTGCCACCTGAACCAAGTCTGCCTTGGACGCGCAGGCCCAGCAATCCGGCAGCGCCCCTTCCTCCGACAGTCTGTTCATTGATTGCATCGCACGGACAGCAGTGAGGGCCTAGCTGAAAATACAGTGTATCTGCACAAAGACTTCGTTTCGTCATGATCAAACCCGATGAAAACATGCTCAAGGATTCAGGACAGACCCCTGGACGCGCTTGTCCACGCAATGCGTACAACCAACTGTACCTTAGCAAGACTTCCACCACGTCTTCAGGCATGACCATGGCATCGTCAAGGCCTTCTGTGCCCACGTGCTGGATGGAAGCCATAGCATGCTGCAGACGGAGCGCTTGTAGTTTGGTAAACACCCCCAAGGTCTTGGTCGGTGAGCAAGAACATCAAGAATGCCGCACGAAAGTGGTATCGTCCACAACAACGGCAGTGAGAAAGTGAGTGCAACATCCAGAGAATGGAATCGACTTCTGCTCGAGTTCCTCAGCTTTTTGAGGCAGATCCACCGCACAGCACGGTAACCACCCCTTGCATTTTCATCCAAGGGCGTGGAAGAATTTTTGCTGAATTCAACACTTCAAGTGAGGGGTGCGGGCAAAGGGAAAAACTTACCTCAGAGACATCGGGGCGCGAAACATTCGTGGTTGGAACTGGCACCAACCGGAAGTTCTCATCCACACTAAACGATTTTCCCTGTAAAAAAGCAGCGCCATTGCAGCAGAACACGATGTGGAGCAGAGCAGATTGCCTAGATCATCGTGGCAGCAAAATTGACCACCCGAACATCGCACACAAATACTGCTGTGCTTCCAGGCACCACTTGCGGTGCTTGTGCGAACTTATGTGGCTGAAGGAGGCGGCAAGGGGCCGGTGCGTAGCACCTCACCTGTATTTTCCATTCGTGCTCGATGGCGGACTGCTCGTCAATGCACTCTTCCGCCATTGTCATTGCGGCCTCCACAGCTTGTTGCTCCTCAGACACACGTTCATCCAGGCAGCGTTGCAACTCCCCATACACCTTAGCAGTATCGCGAGAAAGTCTCAAGTTATACTTGGAACACTCCGTCTTGGAACAGAATTTTCATGGGGATTACATTGTTGCACTTGTCGATAGCGATAGTGGCAGGTTTGGTGTAAACAATGCTAGCCGAAGTGCAAGACTCGTGACTGATCTTCGTTTACAAGCTGTTCAGAGAGTTTGATACCGGAGCCCAACGATCCACGTACCTTCTTCGACCTTAGTTCGGCGTGAGCCAATTTTACCCTGGTCGCTTTGTCTCAGAATGCACCATTTTGTTCTCACCAGGTCAGCCCTCTTCCGGATTTCCGCTAGAAGGGTTTGTCCCGCCCTCGAAAGCAGCTGACATCTTGTGGTCAGAACCCCAGCCTGCGCCCACACTGCTCGGTGGAGCAACAACGGTTTGGGTAGCGGTGCCCCTTGCACCGAACTCGCGGCAGCACCAGCAGCACCGTCACTAGCCTGAGATGCGATCTCATCCTCGGCAGGAACGGGAAAGCCATCCGATCCCCAGGCATCAGCGTAGGCCATAACCACTGACAGGGCGGCCTCGAGGGGTGCCTTTGCCTCCTCCACCTGATACACACCAATACCCGCGAAATAAAAGGTGGTCACGCAAGAGGGGAGGTCTCTCAAACGGAACTTGATTATTCGGAGAATGATTTGACAAACCAGGTCGAACCGAACGCGGCTTGTGCGAATGAACAGTGGGAGTACGCTCAGTTTCCAATGGTGCACCTCGAAGGTATGCATACCAAAACAGCAGTACACGAAGCCTACGATAACACACATGAGCTCGGTCGACAATACTCGAAGAGCAACATCATCAATGTGAGGCACTGAGAGAGGGAGACAGTAGCTGTCCGGTGTATTGTGAAAACCCACTTGTCGTTGATACTCACAGACGCACCTCCACATCCGGCTTGCGGGCGGATTTACTTGCTGGCTTTTTGCCCTTTTCCGCCTTCCCCTTTCCTTGTGCAGCAGCACCGCCGGTCTTCTCCGCCTCGACCGCAACCTGTCGGTGATGGAAAATGTTATAACGTCCTGTCTCACCCAGGTAAGTGGTTAACCTTTTACCCGGGTGGCTGAGTGATCCACCTCCGTCACATATGGCGTCGTATGAGACACGTCGGGAGTTCGAATCCCGACTTGTGCACTTTCTTTATTTTTTTATTCGAAAAGAGAAATAGAGAAAAGAACCCAAAAGAACTTGTGCGTGGAAGGAGAAAACACACTCGCATGTAAAAATCCTAGCGGCAAAAGCATCCTCCCTGCCATCTGAAGGAAGTCGGCGACCCTACGGTGGTAGTCCTGGGGATTACTTCCCGCTAGGTTTCAGTGCTAGAGAGTGTTAAAAGGTCCTGTCTCAGCCAGGCAAATGGTTCACCTTTTACCGGGTGGCTGAAAAAACATGTTGGTGAAATCGAGAGCGAAGCGTGAAATTGAGCGAGAGCCAAAAAAATTATAATTCGGATCCAGACGCCTCTTGCCATTTCCTGGGGAGTAGGGGGCGGGCTCTTCCAAGAAGCGTCGCAAATTGAAGGTCTCATCAGCAGCGTCACGAGCATTTGCGTGTCATCGTCATCGGATGCTGCAGCTAGGAGCTAGACAAGTTGCTAGATTTCCCCAGATTGGCTATTCCGGCCTCAAACTGTTGCAGGGCAGTATGGCCTCGGGCGGTGGGCTCTGCTGTAGCTTCTGCTCGCCGCTGTAACTCCACATCGAGAGACTCCCACAGGATGACCGGGTATCTGCTTGTAGCTACGGGCTGGCCCTTCAATTCAAGCTACACAGCAAGCTCCACCTCTCAGCAGTAGTCCAGCTGCAGCGCATCGCGCAATCTCGCTCTCAATCACATGCTTCGCTCTCAATTTCACCAATATGTTGTTCTGAATGGTCTACCTCCTCAACAAAAACACACGTACAGAATAGAACCGGCACGTAGAATTTTGGCAATCAAGAAATTGATATACTACATGTAGCCTCGAAAAACTCTGTATCAAATAACTTGATCAAGTTTGTGAGGACCCTACACAACAACCTACATGGCGGCCGTTTGTAGCATGAGCCTAGGAACTAAGAACCCCAGCCTCGGCGAAACCAGGCGGTCCATAAGAGCGGGCGCTTGCTGTAAGTGTTAATTGTTGGTTCAACATGTCAGACTCTCCCGTATACGCCCGATTCCGTGTATATTGCGCCAGTTTTGTTAGCATGGCCGAGGTGCACTGTCAGGACGATCTGTTTTTCAGATAGCCTAGAGGTGTCGAACGCAGAAAACACCCGCTCGCATCTGTTCCAGCCTTGAAGGTTTCACGCACCTGGGCAACAGTTAGCAACAAGTGGATTTAATTGGTTTTCCCCAGACTTTGGCAACTGCACGAGCTTCTCCATCGGCACGACCCCAGGATGTGCAAAAGATTGGTCCAAGAATCATGGGTTGTTTGGGAAACACTGCTAAGGGAGTTAACAAAACCTTTTTTAGAAGTCCAATTCAAGCTCGCAAGAATCGTGCCTTCACCTGAGGCATGTCTCCAGCAGCGATGACATCGACCAGCGAAGCTAGAGCTTCAATTGGTGGCCAGGGGGTGGGACGGAGGGTTCCAAAGGAAGGGTCCCCCCACGGATCGCCCTTGCTGCCTTTGCCACCCTTACCTTCTTGGCCCTTCTTCCCCCCCCCCTTACCATCTTTGTCTTTCTTCCCAGATGATTTCGGGCCCGGTGCCTCCTTCAGCGGAGCCCCTTCAGCTTCAGCTGGCAGCAGTGGTGTCTTGGATAAGGTGTCAAGTTCGCCAAAGTGAGCGGGAGTTTTGGGTGGGCTAGAGTGAAAGCGTTTCCAATTATCGTTATTTTTTATTTCTTATAGCGATTTCCACGCTGCAGCAAACATCATAGTCTCATTCAACCATGAAACAGACGGCATCCCCTGCCATTTCCACCCCACCCTGCCCGCGATATACTGAACGTAAAATAAGACAAACTTTGAACAGGTCTGTGACGTACCACTTCAGTATGAACGACGGTGCGCCACCTGCAAAAACCAATCTAACAATGATGATACGAGAACCCAAGAGCAACTGTGCGAGATTGAGTCGTTGAGGGGAAACTCAGGGAGGTACTGGCACAACAATAAAAAAAACTGACAAAATAGTGTATCGAATGCTGTCCCACTCACCAAGACCACCGAATTGTCGTTTGTGACCTCCTGCACTTTGATTTGGTAGTAGTCATGCAGTAGCAAGACGCCTGCGTGGAAGCGCTCAACCTCAGCTTGCATGAGCAAGATCATGTTGTTCGACACCGTCCCCTGCTGCCGCTCCACCCACCCTGCTCGGCACAACAGGTGTTCGTTTGGCATGGCATGCGTTGAACGTCGATCGTTGGGATCCATTAACAACCCACGCACACGTGACCATTGTGTCCTCGTTGATGCGTTATGCTGAAACACTACGGCATTCAGAGGTGGAGATATCTCGAAGAACCTCGAATTGACTTACCATCTCCTTGGATGGTGCCCAGGGCCTTTGCCGCGTACTCTTTCCGTTCCTCGACGTCAAACCAAAGCTTAGATCGGCATTCTTCTGTCCTTAGCAAGAGCTCCTTGCGCGCTCGTTCGTCGAATCTCAGGTCCTGTCAGATGTTCAACGATAACACCGTCACACACACGGAGACCATGGGTCGCGCGGAAGATTAGCGGTCGTGGAAAGCAGCGCCCATTTTCTGAACGCCTTTACAGCATGCGTCTTGCCTGCCGCGTGCAATTCTCCGTGCAGCAACCTCTTAGAACATGAGGGAAGATCGATAACCGCATGCTCGACATTGATATCCAACTCACCGCTACCCAGCGGACTGGCTGGAGATCAACGGGGTTTTTGTTACCCCACGACATATTTTACGTAGGTTCTGACATCGCAGTGTGGCAGCATGGAAAACGATGGGTACCTGATCGAGGGCGTTGAAGGAGCTGCAGAACTCGGCTAGGTGACTCTGCTTGTCGTCAGGTCGCCGGAGGAACGCCGAGAACGTGTCCCGAAGGGACCGTACGTGACCGTTGATTGACAAGCGCTGGTTTCGAAGCTCGCGGAACACCTGTTTCGTGAACGAAGGCATGTTGTCGAAAGAACACGAGCAGTCTTCACTGAAAGAGGATCCATGCCGGGGACATTTCCGACGTGTAAGCCATTTCTCCGAAACAATGTGTGATGTTGGCGAACGATTCGGGTGGAAGCAGTCTCAACCGCCGAAAGCGTGCCCCGTCTCAACCCCCCCCCCCCCCC